GGCAGGCTCAGGGTCGCAAGAGAGTTACATCGACAGGGCGCATAAACTCCACGCGAGGAGCTAAAATATTTGACGAAAATTGTCGTTTAAGAAAATCATTCGCCGAGCTTGAAAATAGCTGGAATGTCAAAATCACCTCTCAATAGTCGAGAGATTGTGGGAAAAGAGCGCGAGCCAAGGGCAGAAAAGAAGAGGAAATAACGGTAAGGATGAGGAATGGAGAGTCGCGAAGTCGGACTAAGTTAGGGCCTGGATCTCTTATCGGGTAGAAGAGTAGCGAGTCTACCCACGTTCGCCTTATCTTCTTCGCTCTCCGTCTTCCTAGTCGAACTTACGATCTGCCGTTTGCTGGCTGGCGCACATCGTTATACTCGTGCTCTTACGGCTTTACACCTATATAAATGTGTTTTATATCGTACATCAAGCGCGCGCTCACACTTACACACACTTACACACACGCATATATAAGTATATACGCATATATAGGTATATATAAAGCACTGGTCGTAGAATATGATAGCCTAAGAGCTTAGAAAACTGGATTTATTTAATTTAATTTAATTTTATTTTATTATCTCGAATTTTCAAATATTTTAACCGACAACTGGAAATGATACATTATTACTACACCGAGATCTTCGTTATTGCATTTCAATGTAATTTTCATGCATAAATTGTTATTAAAATAAAAACGATTGGACTTATTATTTCGTCACGAAGCTGTTAAATGAACTTTATTTGTCATTCTATTTGCGGATAATTGATTGGATTTACTTTAAAGCTTCTACAAGCTATGCTACTTTATAATATAAATGATTTATAATTTTGCTGTTTGCGAATTGTTTGCTAGTTAATTAATAATATAAAATTGCCGGCGTTTCGGTGTATTTACATGGAAAGACTGGCAATGAAAATATTTGGCGAAATAAACAACCGTATTTTATTACAATTGTATCAAAATAAAATTTAAAAATTATATTTATATATATATATATATATATATATATATATATATATATATATATATATATATATCTTTTATTTATATATATACTTTTTATATATATATATATATATTTCAATTATTTGCAGTTATACTTTTAAATATTTTATATTTCATTAATCGTAATATTGTGTAGGTTGGTGTAAACTTGATTAGAATTATAACTAAATTTCAGGGCTATGAAACGAATTTTATATTAAAAATAACAAATTAAAAATTAAACAATTTTAAATAATAAGATATCGCGAGTTATTATGATCCAAATTGTATATTATGTTATTTTAATAATTCTATTCTTTTCGCAAGTAGTTTAGAAATAAACATATTAATACTAGAAAATTTATTTCTAGTCATCTTTCGAGATTTGAAGATTGTTTACTAATTACAAGTATATTATGTGGAATTGTTGCAATGTCTATTGTATATAATGAAAATATATAAGAATTCAGTTACAAAAAAAAAGAAAAAAAAAAAGCTTAAATTGATTTAGAAAATTTCATTGATAGTATAATAGTACAGTATTTTAAATTATTTTAATACTCTGCTATATTATATTATAATTCAATGGCTTGCAAAGAATTATAATTGACTTTAATTGAAAAAGTTTATAACAATGCTATAATGTATAAATGTTTAATGCGAATTTTAAAAAACAGCTAAAGATTGCTTGAGTAAAAAAAAAAATTGAAGATTATGCAAACACATTAGAATGGAATTGAATACATAGTGGAAAATTACAAATTATAATTATACTTGAGAATAGATGATAAATTTTTGAAAAATTTCACCCACTTTATTTAATTTTATCATAAGAATAGGAAGAACTTAGTCTTGTAAGCAAAACTACGATGGAATATTTCCTTTCGAGGAGAAGATTTTATATCAAGAAATTAAGATACAACTATATTTTGCAATAACTTGATAGGAATTATAATAAGAATTTTTACATAAAAGGCGTTTATAATGTGATTGTAAAAATTTCATTTCTATCCTTGCATCATACTTGAAAATGTTGACTTAAGTAGTTTTGATATTGCACCGCTGGCATGCAACGATAAAAGCTTGTAAAGCAGGATATTACGTGGAAATATTATTAGGGCAATATTATTATACATAAAAGCCACATACTCGTATTAAGTTTGCGTTAAACTGCAAATGCCTCGTGTGCTATATAGACGAAGACGATAACATAAGCTTTCGATTTACAAATATTTTGAAATATGATTTTTGTCTCCTAACCGTCTAAGGAAATTAACATTGTTAATCGACAGTGCCCACTTTCATAATAATTACAGCCTTTAAAATCAAAGTTGAGTCATCCTCGGAAACAAATATAAAAGATAATTGAATATTAATGCAAATTGAATGGATGCATTTTAATGAATCTGTTTCACGTTTCAGGTTTAAAACAACGTCGTCCCACGGAATCTTCGAGAGCAAGTAAGTTTCATAAGAATTGAAAATTTAATGAAATTGTGCTTGTATTATTTAAATAACGAAGTCGCGTAACGATAGTATAGTCGGCTCATCCGAGGGCGATGAATTTCCAACGAGACATCCATCTATCATATTATCTAACACTATCGGCGAATTGCTTCTTCTGCAATCCAGGTATTCCAGTAGATATAAAATTCAGCTTATATCGATTATCTGGCTTTATGTTATCTTGAGCTTAGGTAATTCCTTTGGAAAAAGCATCGCTAGGTCGTTTAACGTCAGAATGGAACGTACGCGGAAGGACGGGTGCGTTTGTCATTGGGTATACAATTCCAGTTGTACTCGCGTTGACAATTAAGTGAATCGGCTCATTTTTAGGAGATTTGTTTCCTCGTTAAAGAAAAAAAAAACAAAACAAAAAAAAACAGCAACAATAAAAAAATTGAAAAAAAGGGCAGAGGATCTGTGCGGAATAGCGTAGCTGACAAAAATAGGGTTGGGTGTGAGAGAGAGTGAGGGAGAGAGAGAGTGAGAGAGTGAGAGAGAGTTAGAGAGAGAGAGAGTGAGAGAGAGAGTGAGAGTGAGAGAGAGTGAGAGAGAGTGAGAGAGAGAGTGAGAGAGAGAGAGAGAGACGGCGCGGAATAAAATCGCAGCTCGTTACCCCGGGAGTTTTGGCGAAGGTGCGCCGTATGCCTTGCAGTTGGCAGTGACGAATATCTAAATTTCGGGGGCTGGACCATATAATACGGCCGCAGCCTTTTAAAGCCACTCATGCATCACAATTTGGTGGTCGGGCGCGTGCAGTCGTGCGTCCCAGGAAAACAGTCTCGCGCCCTTCCTGGGTGGGAAACTGTCGACGAAGCGCGAAAAAAAGCCGCGAATTCCGACCGATGGCCTATAAATCTGTCCCCTACCGCGGACTGGGGACGCGCGAAGGTCGATATTATGTACTGAGCAGTTTTTATATAGACTCGCTAACGTTTTCGTCCAAACGAGGATTTATGCTTCTGTTTTTTTTTCGTCGGTAGACGAAAAAAAAGAAGTTCAAATAATAAGTTACGACGATTGTTTCGAAGCGAGCGGCTTTCGCGGTCGCACCGACAAAATCCGCGTACCAGACTGATTCATGATCTCTGAAAAATTTATCTTTGAATCAAATTACATAAACTATGTTGTGAGGATGTTTGATTGAATATACCATAATAATAACAATCGGTTATTATCTAAAAATTGCGGTATTCTTTACTGTATTAAAATTGTTACCGCCCAATCGAACGTTTTTTTTTTCTGAATTTTTTCTAAACTAAATAACATATATTTTAGTAATTCTGATACAGATATAATTAGAAGAAGAAGAAGAAGAAGAGGAAGAAGAAAACAACATTTAATTTAGAATTTTGCACTTATTAGTGCGGATAAGCTGCTATTTGATGAATATGAATAATTCCGATATAGGAGAATATTCGGAGGAGCTATGGGGATTAAACTAGAAACATTGATGCTTCAATGTAATAAAGAGCATAACTATTATCTGATATTCACTGTATAAGAGAAGGATGGAATAATGATCTTCGCATTTAGTATTTCATAGTGAGAAAGTTTTTCGAAGGAATATTATTAAACGTTATAATTTTGAAATTATTGTATTTATGTTTATTATGTTTATTATGTTAATTTATGTTAATTATGTAATTTTATTGATTTTTCACTTTGTTACGATTTAACATTATATAATAACGTTCAATCGCATTATTCGTTTTGCATTATAATTTATAAACTAAAAATTCTCTTTCATCTTACGTCGCTTCTCCATGAATCACAAACCTCACACAAAAATAACGCGGTTTAAACGCTTACGCAAACGTTTAGTCATAGTGGAATTTAATTTCTTTATATTTCAATGCTTATCGTTATACTTCATCCGATAAACGTACTTTCTATTCATTGGAATTCTATCTAATCAGTTGCAGTAGTTCTCTCGTCTCAAGTTTTTATGTTTAAAAAATATTCGATAGAATGAGGAACTAAATTAAGGGAGAAAACTTAATTAAGAAAGTTATTATCACAATAGCCGAACAATATATTGTTCTAAACGCGCTTTTTTTTCATACCATTTGCTTAATTGTTCATGGAAAACAATTAAATTTTATTGTCAAATATATAATATTACTATTAGGTTATAGTAATCTTTACATTTACCAGCATTTATCAGCAGTTATTTATAAAAATTTATCGAAACTTCTAGTTTGTTCAAAAAAAAAAAAAAAAAGGAAAAGAAGAAAAGATTCCTTATAAAATTAACATTGTTCATCGCTAGAATTAACGAGCCTTAAAATTATTAATTAAACCTAAGCGTTGCTGTATAATAAATTAACGCCCTTATAAAATCTTTACATTCCATGGAATATTTAAATCTTATACCATAATGGGAAAGCAACCCTCGCGCCACTAGGCATATATCTATCGCCACTCAGCGTAAATTTATATATTATTATTAATTATCTAGTGAGGTATAAACGCCGAGGTTAGTCGAGGAGGACGTAGTGATAGCGGTACCGCGATGGCGAAGGATGAGAACACCTTCACCGACACCCTCACCCTCCATTTGCCAGTCGGTATATATCATGGTTCCACGTCGCCGCCAAATTCGTCACTCCTAATCCCTTGTCCTTGCCACGCATCCAACACACAAAACTTGCGAACTCGAGATGACCGGGCAAGGCGCTACGATATTCGATGCGTTGCGTTATTCCGATATTTCGATTAGCGTTCTTAGGTGCAATTTTACATAAAAAGACTTATTGCAAAAGTTAAAACTGCCGAAGCAGCTGTGGAGGAGTTGGATTTTTATTTGGCAAATATACAAGATATTTTAGTTCCTATGTAAATGCAGAATCTCATTTTCATTTATGAAATCTAACCTTCTCGAATTAATTCCCAAACGAACTCTCTCATCCATTAGAAGCTATGAGAGAATAGAACGGTAAAGTCGGACCTGCTTAATGGAAAGTATGGCTATTGCCGATGGTACTTTCGTGGAAAATATATCGAGGATCAAAATTAACAAGATTTTTCCTACAAATTTAAAAAAAAAAAAAAAAAAAAAAATCGATTAACTTTATAATCATCGACTTTTAGTTTTTATCAATTGATAATATCATTAAGTTATAACTCGATATTTCAATTTCTATTCGAATTCATGATTTCGATGAGATTTTCAAAACTTTTTTCTACATGAAAACATATGTAAATTTATTGAAAAGAATAGTTCAAGTTCTCTTAAATTCAATTTTCTTTTCATTCAATCGTTTACTTCTAGATATTATTATATAATTTAATTGAAAAATATTTCTCATTAATACTTACTCATTATAATTAATCATTACTCAAAAATTTAGATTAAAAGGATATCAATGTATTTTAATTATGATAATTTCTAGACATATTTATATATAATTTAAATGTAAAATATTGTTTTATTGTTGTTTTATTACAAAATTCAAGATCATACACAATATTGACAATAACAATATTAACATATAAATTAAAAAAAGAAAAATTTACTCATATTCGTAAGGTGGAGCATACGAGCATTAGGTAGTTATAGCTAAAGGTATTTGCTAAAAAGTTTCAATAATGTTAAAAAGAATTAATGTCTCTTATTTCACGATTATCTTTTATATTAATAATTTATAATGAAAATTGTTATTATCATTGTCAACTGTTGGAATTTTACTGTTTTATTATAGCATATTATATGGTCTCTATATGTCATGAATGAATGAAAAATAATAAAGTTAATAAGGAAGATAAGTGTCTATAAATTCATTTTACTTTTATCCTTTAACCTGACTAAGTTGTATAAATAAATCAGAATAACATTTTAATTCAAATGCAACAGTTATAAATGTGCAGAACAATAACATAATAATTAAAAGTACAAAGATTTATTGTTATTTGTTTCTTTTTGTCGTGTATTTTTTTATTTTTTTCATACTGTCGCGTATTAAGATATAATTATTATTTTTATTGTTTTTCGAATTTAGAAGAGACGTTGGATGTAATAATTTCTTACTACGACAAAGTTTATTGGCTTTTTCACAATTTTCTACTGGGCGTGTACAGCTTTAACCCAAACGTTCGCTCATACGGCTCGAGATTGTACATCTTAGCGTTAGCCGAGATGTACGTAGGTACATTGAGAAATAATCGTTGAAAATTTTTAACTTAAATGAAAAGAAAAAGTAAAAGAAAAACAATATCAAATTCAACTTTAGAGATATTATTTTTCAATTTATATTACCTTCTAAATTCTTTTTTCCTTCCTTTTTTTCTTCATTTGTTCTTTTTTAATTTTGCCCCGATATTTATCCTTCGAGGCAGATAATTTGAAAAAAGATATCCATTATTTTTTAAAAATACGTAATTATATGAAAATAAAGGAACATTATATTTATTAGGTAATTCAATTATTATAAAGCCTCTTACAATTCACGAGATTTATTAAAAGCTTCGCCTGTAGGGATTAATAGTTGAAACGTTATGTGTAATAAAAATATTATTGCGTTCGTTGTGCATATTTTGTGTGCAAAAAATACATTAAAAGGGATTATATAATGGCTTTAGTTTTTTGTTTTTTGTTTTTGTTTTTTTTTTTTTTTTTTGTTTCGGTCATAAATTTGGGAAAAGCCTAATTCATTTCAAATATATGTCGTCACTTTGTGAGCATTGTTGGCTGTTGTTGATATTTGGCGAAAATAATAAATTGACGCTACTCGACGATAATGTTTTAGTGTGACAATGCAACTTATAACGGCCATATAAATGTCAAAAGATATTCAACCACTTAAAATGTCAAAAGACTTTGTAGCTGAAAGTGTTGTGTGCTCTTAAATCCAAATTCTTTTACTTTAACTAACAAACTCCCCCTCTCCAAGACGGGACGAAGCGATGAAGAGATGGCGCGCGCGCGCGTGCGAGATATAGAGAGCGTGAGGGGTTTGGGTGGGATGGTGGGTGGGTGGGGGGGGATACGGAAAATGAACATGAAAGAGAGAGAGAGAGAGAGAGAGAGAGAGAGAGCGAGAGAG